ATGTTGTCTGTTCGGCATGAATTACCGTTTTGCTTGTTTAAATGTGAATTGATGATGCTTATTGAGGAAAAGGGAAATGAAACATTGTGTAGACTGATAATTGTATGATGGGGTCAGCCTGACTAGATATCCTGGGAGATGGTGGACGGACCGGGTCCGTAGGGAACCCTACCGGGATTGTGGTCTCACATGCCGGACGGGGTATGGAGATCTTATGGTTTGGCGCCCATACCGGACGGGGTATGGGGACGGCCCGTTTCACCCTCATACCGGACGGGGTATTGAGGTTTATGGTTTTGGCGCCCATACCGGACGGGGTATGGGGACGGCCCTGGAAACTGATTATGAATGTTAAAGGTTAACGGGTAGCGGGACCCCTAGGGACCCCCATGGATACTAGTTGGCTGGTAAATGAGAAAATGATATGTTGTATAATGATTGAATTACAAAATGCGTGATAAGTGCTATGTTTTACAGCTTATATTATTCCATGATTGTGATAATGTTATTATTTTTCTTATATTGTTTTCATAAATTCCACCGAGGTAAGTGGATGGTAAAGGTTTTCATGTTAATAAACGAGTTTATTGTAAATTATGCTCCATTGGTCTTTTTGTGTTTTTCTACCCACCTTTACCTCCGTGACGGTGAGATATCGTGATGTTCTTACTGGGCTAGTGTAGCTCACTCCTTATTTAACCATTTCAGATCAGGAAGACATGGTTCCCGAGCCCGTTCCGCAGGAGGACGACGAAGGGGATACCTAGAGACTCTGTAGTCATACTCATAGTTTTATTTTCGAGTTTCTCTCTTAGTTAGTTTAATCTTTTATATTTTAAGTACGTTTCTGGTTTTTCGTGTAAGGGATGTTAACTGAAATTTTGATCTCGCTTCCGCATTTGATATATTTAAATACTCATTTCATTTTAATATTTCCGGGGCCGTTACAAATACAATGGTGGAAAAATCACACGAAACAAGAATCAGGAAGGGCCTCATCAGATGCGGTTTTTAATTTTTTTTGCGGCAGCGCCGTCGGGCTTTACCTGTGATTTTCGGCTCATTCCCCGTTCATTTTGCTCCGATTTGGCCATTGGGGTGTTCAAAATCAAATTTTGAGCGAATAAAATTTTTTTTACATTTTTTTACAGTCGGAGGTGGCTTCGGCGCAACAGCGGGAGGCGGTCAGCTCCTTTCTCTAGCGACTGGTTCTTCTTCTCCGGCAGGGGGCTGGCGGCTAGGGTTAGAGTTCGACGTGAAATGAGGTATTTATATCCGTCTCCTTTTAATATGAACCATCCATCCCGTTTGATTTCGACTGTCCGATCGTGTTTAAATAGGAAATAAATATGGAACGTTTATCGTGATTTGATCTGGACTATACGAATGAGCCAAAGGAGGAAACGGATCCGGACCATCCGATCGCGGGCACGCGGATTGCCAGCGTGGCCTCCCGCATAGCTCTGCATCAGTGTGCCTTGCCATGCAGCGCACTCTGATTTGTCGGGACTGCTGACTGGGCAATCTTACGTGATACATTTTTTTAAAATTATGTTTTGATCCCTCCTAATTTTTTAATTTTTCTTTCAAAAATACTAACAGGACCCAAAATTTCACCTATTTTTTCTAAAATTATTTTTAATTTTATCCGCCACCTATTTTTCTAATTTTTTTACATTAAATAAAATTTTATAAATTAAAAAATTATATTTTATATAGCTCACATTTGGTTCTCTCCCAACCTATTAATCTTCAACATCCATGAGCTTTATTACTTTCGGATTCGACAATGGAAATAGCATAACTGAATTGCTATATAATCTTAACTGTTAAGTCGAAAATTATAAAATTAAAAGATACAATAATTAACATGTGCATCCTTTTAAGGTACTTATACGAAAAACAAAAGTCTAAACAATAATCAAACAGTTAAACTAAAATAATTATATCTTAATTCATGAAGTGAATAATTAAAAAAAAAAAAAAAAAATTATTCCAAGATCCGCAAAAGTTAAAAAATTATACTTCATCAATTGTTTTTACTAGATACGATATGTCTTATTTTTGCATCATCACTCCTTTTAAGGTCTCCATTTTACAAGCATTTTCAATACATTAATGAATGATGCGGACAGTGTAATAATTTCAAATAAGACACAATATCAATAATCTACTTTACTAATTTTCCTCATCTTATTTCCATTTTTCAAGTGTATTTATAAATATTCATAAACTTCCATTCTTTTCAATAATATATAAATATTTACTAAATAAAAACGCAAAACAATTTGAATAATTAACCAGATTCTCACCTTTCATTCTCCATTTTTTCCAATTTTCTCAATATAGTCATAACCTAAATAAATTACATAGTGACCGAATCTAAGACTTTTTACCTCAAAATTAATATAAATTGTAAAACCTATTAACACTCTTATCCTAAAGTACAATCAAGTTTATAGATTGTCTTCCTTCGGCAGGCCAAACAACCACTAACTTACTATTCCTTTCCACATATATTCCTACACACATACTACAAAAGTATTTGGTATATTTTTTTTATAAAAGAAAACCTACTACGGAATTTATGTAAAAAAAAAAAAAAAATCCAACAAAAATAGGTAAACCAAAGGTGACCTTCACATAATAAAATACAATAAATCACTAAATGATAGGTAACTATAAATACATTCCCGTCCTCATCCTCTTAAACACCAAAAATTTTATAGCTCTCTTCAGCTTTGATACTATATCTATAACATAGCATTGATGCAGACTTTACATGTGCAGGCCTAAAGATCCACACAGAGATAATGGAGTATTGCACTTGCCTTGCGTTTAGTCCTTTGACTAGGTTTCCATTTTTCGACCAAAACCTTCTTTATATTGGGACAACTGGAAACAATGGTGGCAACTCCAGCTGCAGTTATACTAGGACAGTAAACCATTTGACAGGTCTCAAGCAAACTGCAGTTTTTGACAAGATGAGCTAAACCAACATCAGTTATTTCACGACAATGTGACAATACTAAATAGTTGAGTAGCGGGCATCCTTCTCCTAGTTCAGCCAATGCAATATCCCTCAAATTCTGGTAAGAAACAACGAAACCAAATTTATTATTCTGATAACAAAGAAGAACGATAAAAGCAAAAAGTACCACAAAATTGAGAGTTCAGTGACATCTGAATGTAAAAAGTGATTTAGGATAGGTAACAAATAAACCCTTAAAAGGAAATAAAGGAAGAAAAGATATCAAAAAAAAATATGAACTGAACCGAGTGGATTTCATACATGTTCCTTTTAACGAAAAATAATTCATTGGGAGGCACTAAACGGTTACCATCCAATATAAAATATACAAGGATCAAACTGACCAATATCAAAAAGAGATAACATCAACCCTATCCTTGAAAGGGTGTCCTTTAGGAAGGATAAGAAGAGAGTATTCATGATGTAAAATAAAGAGATCTTAAAGACAAAACTTTTGAAAATTCTATAAAGTAAAAAAGTTAGAGATCTCAAATATCAATAATCAACATAATATCTCACTATTTAGATAACAATCATGAATGGTCAACTTAATAATTAAGATAATGTACCTTATTTGTAGGCACCAAGATATGATCAAAATAAGAAATCTAGAAAATAGAAAATAAGCAAAATAATTGACTAACCTATAATTAAAAAATAATTAAGTAGCATTGTAATTGAATAGGCATAATAAACTTGTGCCATATTAGATATTAGTTATTAAATA